TGATTTCTGGGAGAAACTATGACGTCATGATTCAAAATGGCGACTGTTCAAGATAAAGCAACATGCTTACTTTGGTCTCATGAAACAAAGTCCGTTTCGAAAAAGCAACATCGTTACAGAACTCACTATGGAGAACATTCACCTTCAAATATTGCGTTTACCTTCGGAGATGGGCATTCAGTGATGAAGCAATATTGTACTTATCTGGAAGAATAAATCATCATAACTTTGGAATATGGAGGTCACAAAACCAACACGCCATTTGAGAAATCGAAAAAAATAGGGCAAAGCTGAATGTCTAGTGTGCTTTGTCAAGTTCTAAAGTTTTTGTTCCCTTTTTCTACAGAAAATAGAACTCTCTGAGTAACACTTTCATACTCCGTAAGCAGTTTCATTTTATTTTTTTTTTCGGTTTGAAATTCATAGGCCACGAAGACGAAGACAATAATTCAGAACCACTCTGTATATGCACAAAGATGTAAGGAAGGCCAGAAGGTAGGGTACAATATAGAATTTATATTGAACCAAAACCTATTGCAAATGAATAATACTGGCAATATTTAGATTATTTCAATATAAAATCTGATGATGATCAATTAATTAATTTTGGAGGAAAACCATGCAGACAAACTGACAGACAAGACCCCCCATATCATCACCACGTTCATATTTTGTACAAACAGCGCATATAAACTCGCAGTGATTGGTTTTGTAATGAAGCGTGTCTAATATTCTCCATAACGCAGGATCATGTTATGCTCCAATGCCTTATCCAGAGGCTCCAACAGTGTACATCAAACCTCTTCCTTTTATGTCTGGAACTTAGCCCCCTTGTGCTATTCGTGACGTAAACTTCAAGACATGTGTTACAGAGAGGTTTTAAATGTAACAGACAGTCAGTTAATTGCACGGCTACGTCTCTGAAGTTTCGTTGAACAGAAAATGGCGACTGGTTGCATATCCCTACACTGAGAAAATATAAAGCAAAATCTTACAAAATGTGAAACCTTCCTCAGCATTATTAATTGACATGCATAATCATTTGAAACTTTGTGTGATCTTTCGTAACAAGTTTTTTCGGTGAGGTGTTGTTAGAGCCATGCCCAATCCCCAAGCTGGAGAATCAACCCTTGTTGGCTGTCCGCGACTGCTTATTCAATATATTCGCATGTAACCTCAATATCTGTAGACCATCATGTAATAACACCTGCACATCATAATGTTGCAGCAAATGCAGAATTTCCCATTGATATGATCACCGTATTACTAATTTGTTGAAACTAGAAAAAAACTCCGTGGCTTGAGTCCGCAAGCGAGCTATACCGACCGAGCGACCGCCGCTTGTCGGCGAAGTTAGTGCAAACTTTAGCAGATAGAAGGTGTCACGTTGTCAGCGCAACGAATTCCCACTGCCGCTGATTTCCGTTTTCCAGACCGGAACTAATTTGCTGAAGATTACTAATTATGAAGTTCCTATAGATGGTGGTTATGAAGAGTTCTATCTTCTGGGACATAATGCTGTGCAGTCCGTTTAAAGTCATCCAACGTTTCTTAGGAACACGCCGCCTCCATCTTCAGGTTCAAAATGAAAACCCAGCTAGAAACTAGCATGATGAATGTAGCAAGCAAATCCTGGTTTCCTCTCCGCCGAAACGCCGGTGGGCTTTCCAACGGACTACACGACCTTGTAACCGAAAAGATAGAAATCTTTATGAAATTCTTCATAACGACATTTTGTCTTTAACTTGCTACCACTATCTCTCTATTCAGTTCAAATATTCAGCCCAACATCTTGTTCTCAAATATCCTTAATCCTTAAAAGGCCGCGCCATAGCTCAAGTGATTAATTCCTGGCTTCCTACCTCGGCGGCCCGGGTTCGATCCCAGGTATGGTCAAGTGGGATTCGTGGTGGACAAAGTGGTGCTGAGGCAGGTTTTCTCCGAGTACTTCGGTTTCCCCTGCTAATCTTCATTCCACCAATTGCTCCACAATCACCCTCACCTATCATCTGGGGCTGGTACAATAGGCCAGAAGTTGCCGCAGTTCAAGGGACTTAGTCCCACTCCACTAGCAATAAAAAATAATAATCCATAAAATGTTTGAGGTTCTCGCTTCGGTGATGGTTCTGGATTATAACCTGGTGTATTCTGGGAGGTGAATTTCATAGTTCACGGTAGACGCGTCCCTCTTCCTTGAATATGGAGGCAGTTATTGCTCCAAATCGTGGCACCCACCTAACGGGATGCACAGTTTGGTACTCAAGAATACCACAATATAAACTTTCTATGCGTGTTCTTCTCGTGTGTCACATACCCGTACTGTGTATCAGGTAATATTTCAGTTCTGTATAATTTAATATTTACATTTTTAGAGAGAAGGACTTTGTAGCATAGTTGGTTGAGACACTATGCTACAAAACGGAACATTGCGGGTTTGATTCCCGATGAGTTCACTGGATTATTGACCTAATCCCTCCAGCCGCACTATGACCCTAGGGTCGACTCAGCCTCTAACATAAACGAGTATCAGGAATTTTCCTGGGGGGCGGGGTGGGGGTTTGACAGGCGAATAAGGCTGGAAACCCTACCGTCATCTGTCAGCCGAATGTCTAGAAAACGTGGGAACCTCGACGTCTCAGAACCCTATTAGCCTCCACGGTCTGTTACAAGGATAATTTAAGTTTCATGCAGGAAGAGAAAATTATTTTGAATTGAACAGTACCATCAATCCTCAGGTTCACTCCGTTCTTAACCTATAACTCCTTCATGAACACAACGCGGATTTGTTACGGTTGTATCGAAATATTTTTAACCACAACGAATTTTCAAAGGGTTTCTTATTTATCAATAACATCCATCATCACGTCTAAATAAAGTGTTCCACGGATTTTCGTATCCAAAACATGAACCAAGTGCTATAGAAATACTCGCAGTTTCAAGCTTGATCGATAATAAGAGAAACAAAGTTTTCGAAACCTAAATAAAACGGCCTGGTTAGAAAGGGGAGGGGGGAAGTTGTTGATACAGCTTTAAAAAAGGCCGCGTATAAACACGTGGTAGCTGTGACGCTCCAAAACAAATTTAGAATTGGAAGTATCTTCCAACACGTTTAGACGAAAACTTCAAGCTCAGATGAAGGGATATGACCACCAACAATTCTGAAAGCTAGGAAAGATTGTTGCATAGATTGGTATCTCCAGCACTTTTATCGTAAGACTCACTAATAAACACAGATACATTACTATCAACGCTAGGTAAATAGAGATCTCATCAAAGGCAATTTCTTGCCGATCTGAGGCATACTCCTATATACTGGTTAGTAGACTATTTCATGTCAACCACACTGGCCGCGCGGTCTAAGACATAAAATGCCTTCGCCCGCTCGAACACTGAAATTGTGGGTTCGAATCCCACACAAGTCGCGGATGTCTGTGTAGCTAGTGTCCTTACGAACTGCTGATCCCCGTCCAAGGAGTTCTACCGACTGTCTTAGATTAAGAAACTGTAGTGAAACGAAACGTTTCACGGATGCCCTATGGTCCAATTGGGAACAACAGAAATAGAAGAAGAAGAAGAAGAAGAAGAACTATTTAATGCCGCCATAGCAACTGCATTGTTTTCCGTCAGTGGAAACTGAAACTTGATGAACATAACGTACACTTAATTGGGAATGGCAGGGAAATTGTCGATGGTTATTTCAAAGTACCGCTTACGTCGTTTTAAAACTAAAACAAACAAAGGAAACCTCAAAAAGACAGGCAAATATTTATCTTTTACTAGAACATTGTATTATAGGGCTGAACCAACCTCCAATCCAATGGGTACCGTGGGTCCATCCCCCGGATTTAAAGCGAGCGGGGCGTGAAGCTGACCACTAACTTACAGCTAGTGCAGATGTCAAGAATGTTGGAGGTATACTTCCATTACCTGGCACGCCTTCATGGCATAGTGATTAATTAATTAACCTTTTTATCTTAAATTTAGAACAACTTATTTTAATCATGCCGCAATTAAAACGAACATACACAACTATTTTAATCGTATCAAATAGCTCTCGAACAGCAGAATCGTTATACATGCGTGTTTCAACAAAGCAGATCATTCTTCGAGTCAGGCTATAATACTGTGAAAACCCATGTTTCGCGTCAAATATATTCGGGAAACTGTATTTAATACTGGAAGAGTTGAGACCTTCTTAAAGGAGAGGGTGAAAAGGAACATTTATGAATATTTTTCAATATAAATCTTATAACAAAGGGGCAGTGACACCCGCCGGTGTCCCGTAACTCTGGAACTATAAGCGTTAGCGAAAACTTTGCACAGCTCTTACAAAACATGCTCAACACATTCACCATTCACGCCGAACCAAACCGACAGACGGTTCTGTCAGTCCCAGAGATTGATGTGAATTATTTGTGGTGAGATATCTTTGCGTGCCGTGAAAATTCACTCCTGAAAATGCCACTCAGTATGATTCCATAACAATGGGACACCCTTCAGAGCGAACCGCCATCCATGTTTGCTATAATTTCTGGAGAATGACGGTTATAAATTGGGGGCGTAAGAAAGAACTTTTTTTTTATTGCTAGTGGGGTGGGACTAAGTCCCTTGTACTCCTGCCACTTCTGGCCTATTGTACCAGTCACAGATGATAGGTGAGGGTGACTGTGGAGTAATTGGTGGAATGGAGATTGGTAAGGGGAAACCGAAGTACTAGGAGAAAACCTGCCCCAGCGCCACTTTGTCCACCACAAATCCCACTTGACCAGACCCGGGATGGAACCCGGGCCGCCGCGATGGGAAGCCAGCGACTAACCGCTTGAGCTATGGCGCGGCCTTAAGAACTCCTCTTGCTTATAGCCATGCATTATTTTAGAATTAATCTGCAGGGACTGAGGGCATCCGCCACTGAATCTCCTCTTCTTCGTCACATCCAAGTAGGTTCAAACCCCAGTTACAGAATGTGTGCATATTACAACAAATACTTGTGTTTGTTTCAGTGCTGAGGCGCGCATTCTCCATGTTCGACTCAAGTAAAGCTGGAAAGATTGAGAATGAAAAGGTCCGCACAATCCTCAACACTCTGGGCCTCGCCATTAACGACTTGGAGCTGGAGGCGCTGTTGGAAGAGGAGGATAAAGAAGGTAAACCAAACCGTACAGACTGTTCTGAAGTTACGGGAGCAGAAGTGATAAGTTGCATAATTAGGTACGTGCGTTCTATGTAGTTATCATCAAGCAGGTCGGATCTGTATATGAAAAACTTTTGTTATGCGGAGCAATACTACATTAACACTTCTTAAAATTTTCTGGTTTGGGATGTGTTTTTAGACAACACAAATAATTATCAATTCTTGAAGCAGAATTCCCTTATTAACCATCATAGCAGATTATGCATTTTACAATAAAATTTGATTTAATTTTGTGCACAGTTTGTTTTAAGTACAAGGAAGGTTTAGAGTCCTTATAGACGAGAGAGACTGATAAAAACTTTCATGGACAGAAGACGGTAGAGGCGTGGCATTCTCATGTTATACGCAATTCTATATAGCTCTGAATATTTCCTTCTTCTTTTCATATTCGACAAGAATTTGGAGGCCTCAATACTTATCTGTACAATCTTTTTACTACAATCAGAATAAGAGCAGCTGTTTAAATATTTTCACAGGTGAAGTATCCATATACTATCTAATTAGCTACCTTATTAAGAAAAATACAATAAAGAGATAAAGTCGTCCCTATGCTTAACTAATTAAACACTACACTATGAAGGCGCATGGGGAGTGGCTGTATAGATCCATATTTTCTTGACCTCGGCACTAGTTTGAGGTGAGTGGTCAGCCTCACGCCCCGGCTGCTTTTACTCTGGGGAATAGCCCCCGTTACCCATTGGATAAGAGGCTACATGGGCCCCAGTGTCGGTCTGGACGACGTGGAGAAAAGACAATTCTTGACCCCACCGGGACCCGAACTCCAACCCCTCAGTGTTCCAGCCAGTAGCCAGTCGCTATTCCGACTACGCTAGCCCGGCTCATTAAGAAAGTTAAAATTCATAAGAAATCTGTGCCAAACACAAAAGACTACGTGTGTGCTGTTGAACCGGCTGTTTTGAATTCTCCCAACGCTTGATGGCGGCTCCTCGGTTACCCTACTTGGTTATAGGAGAAGCTTCAACGTGTTCCGACCGCTTATGTTCATCATCGTGCCGAAACATTCTTAGAAGTGATATTTCAAAATGGTGATCTGCACAATTGGTGGTTTCTCAAGAAGGGCTCACATCCATGATGTTAGTTACTATTCTCACAATACACAGTGATTATATCCCTAAATATTACTAATCTGTTAATTTTTAATGAAGATATAGTGTATTTTATATGAGGCAGAAATTGAAATATAAACATTTAGATAAAATTCATGCTTCAATTAAAAGATATATAACTCTTGGAACATTTGCCGACGATATAGCTATACTGTCAGTTAACAAACACCCTGAAAGAGCAGCAACACACCCTCAATATCACCTTAGATCATTATAAAATTGGTTCGAGAAGTGTCGTATCAGAATAAACGAAAACAAGACTTGCTACATAACTTTCACCCTACGGAAAAACCGACACCTGACATATACATCAATTATATCCAAATACCACGCATAGCAGAAATAAAATACCTAGGTATGACTATAGACAGCAAATTAACATGGAAGCAGCATGTAGTCAAGAAACGAAAACAAGTAGACTTAACCATTAAACAGTTAAACTGGCAAATAGGCAAAAAATCAAAGTTAACAGTCGAAAATAAAATTCTGATCTATAGGACTATAATCATACCTATTTGGACGTACGGCCTGGAATTATGGGTCTGGGCCAGCAAATCTAATATAGCAACAATCCAAAGAAGCCAAACTAAAATCCTACGAATAACAGTCGACGCACCAGGGTATGTCTCCAACGCAACTCTCCACACCGATCTCGGTATATCTCCCGTACAAGACGTCATCCAAGAAAAAAGCAACAGACATCACAACAAAATCGAAACTCACAAAAACCCACTCCTAAAGACACTATCGGCCGGTCACGGTAGGCGAGCGGTCTAAGGCATGTACTGTCTTCGCTCGCTTGGAAACCGGGATCGTGGGTTCGAATCCCACTCAGGGCATGGATGTTTAGTTTGTGTGTGTGCGTCTTTCTGTGTTTGTTTACAGTTAGAGGCCTTGCGACGAGGGGATCACCCGCCCAAGGGGTCCTACCGAATATGTAAGATCTAGAAAAACAAATGAACGGAGAAGTTCATGGACGTAGGCCTAGGCCCACGGGGGCTGTACTGCCGGGGGGGGGGAAGACGCTATCGGCAAGAAAAGACAACAGACGACTCAAACGAAACTGGCCAATTGACCTGATTTGAATTACTGAGGATTCGCCTCTGGATGACTCCTCATTAAGTCTTCTAAACAACCATAGCATTCGCTTATAGAATGTGTATTCTGATTGCTGATTAAACAAATAAAAAAAATTAAAAGATACAAATCAATCAGAGGAGTCCGGACAGTCGAAGAATCAGAAATGACGTAATTGAATCTGAAATGGTCAGCAGTCATGAAAAGAAACGAGTGCTAAAGCGGCTCAAATCCCAACTTAAAGTAGGTTATTCATATGGACTCGGAAAATATTTGTAGTTAGATCGAATACAAAAGAAATGGCGATCGCTTAAGAGAAGAAAGGGGTATTTCTAGCTGCCCTGTGATTATTTTGTCAAATGTATAATAAAATTGCATTCAATTTTATGTTTAACTTTGTACATTGAACTCCGAAAAGGGATTAGTGCCTTAGTCAGTGAATTGTCTCCAGCGGCAGAACGAGTCTGGCGAACTGAAAGTTGCGAAACATCAGCAGCCCCTCCACGGATGAGGGCCGGAGACTATCTCACTTAGTGAGAAGTTCTTGCCGACAAAGTTAGATACAATGGGTATGGTACGGCGGTTCTGTGTAAAGCTCCATCTTGTACCATCTGAAACCCAAACCCTGGGGACCGACACAAGATGAAGATTACAGCCAGGGTGAAGGTACGACCAGACAAACTTCTGTGTGCCAAGACGTAACTTTGAGAATCGCTTGTAAATTTATGTCAGCGTTTCGCGTGACGCCGTCTACAGGCTGAGAATAAAGTTATATGTTTCTTGCCCTTTAAGTACCCCATGAGTCGATAATATGTTATGTAATTTCGGTTGCTTTAAACTTGCATGCATATCATATTGTCCCGTAGTATGTGTGTGACTGTCGACGGGGTTTTGGAAAGGTGATTTGATTTCTTGACCGCTTATTCACTCGACTCGTAATTTCATTTAATTACACAGCCATCTCTAATCTCCACTTTTCACAAATAACCATACCACCCGCTAAGTCATTTCCAGCCTGCTATGTCTTCACCAGCCGTTCTCTGGCAAACGCTTCTAACAGTGGAAAATATTCAGCTTCAGGTTCAAGTTTTCTCTGTAAGTCAGCTCCCTTCTAACTGCTTCTTTTCCCCACAGATTCGGGTACTGAACTGACTCGGTTGCCTCAAATGTCATCCTTATAACCCCTTTGCACGGACCGAGTAGACAACACCGTTTCCAACAGTACCTACATTGTTGCATGCGTATCCTTTACAGAGGAAACATGTTTATCGAGACATTAACTAGAAACGAATGTTGTTTCAGAGCCGTTCGTTAACAACGGCTGTTTCTCTGGCTCCAAAGTTTCTACGTTCAGTAAATATTGCACAATATTTTCAACGTTATTAACTTACGTGTTTTCTTCAATGGTTCTCTTTTGTCTTGCATACGTAATATAACACGAGATCCATTTATTGTAGTTACAACTGTATTACTGCACATATAAAGCACTGTTCGCTGATCGAGGTAGCTGAGGGGTGTAGGCATGTAGTGTCTTCGCTCGCTCGGAAGCCACGATCGTGGGTTCGAATCCCACACAAGACATGGATATTTGGTATGTGTATGAGTTTACTCTGTATTTTCCCACCACGGCGGTCCGGGTTCGATCCCGGGCCTGGTCAAGTGGGATTTGTGGTGGACAAAGTGGCGCTGGGGCAGGTTTTCTCCGAGTACTTCGGTTTCCCCTGCCAATCTTCATTCCACCAACTGCTCCACAATCACCCTCACCTATCATCTGGGGCTCGTACAATAGGCCAGAAGTGGCCGCAGTACAAGGGACACCACTAGCAATAATAATAATAAAAACAATAATAATATTCTGTGTTTGTGCTGTCCTGTGTTTATGTAGGGGCATTGCGACGAGCTGATCACTCGTCCAGGGAGTTCTACCGTCTGTAAAATGATCATGAAACTGAATATCAGAGGACAGGGTCCAAGGGGGACTGCAGAACAAGTGAAAAAAAAATTATACTTGGAGAAGAGTACACGTTATGAAGCTCCTCATTGTGCAGTTTTCTCCAACCTCCTGTCATTTCATCCCTCTTCGGTCCAAATATTCTCCTCAACACCCTGTTCTCAAACACACTCAGTTTATGTTGTTCAAGATATTAGTCAGCGCACCAGAAATAAAGAGGAGCCAGGATAGAGCAGTGGGTATAACGACTGGCTACGGGCTGGACGACCGAGTGGTTGGAGGTCGAGTCCCGTTGGGGTCAAAAATTCTCTCTTCTCCAAGTCGTTCAGACAGGTACTGGGGTCCACCCAACCTCCTACCCAATGGGTACCGAAGACCTTTTCCCGGGGGTAAAGCGGCCGGGGCTTGAAGCTGACCACTCACCTTCACCTAGTGCCGAGGTAAAAGAAATACGGATCTATACCTCCAGTCCCCCATACACTTTCATGGCATAGTGCTTAATTAGTTAAATACAGGGACAACTTTACCTCTACCAGAAATTAAGAGGCCACTTGAAGGACTAATGCCCATATTGGGATGTAATATCAAATTGAAATTTAAAGAAACAGAGTCCAGTGGAGGGCTCCTGTGAACAAGGCAGCGATTCTTCTTGATCCGTGACAGGATGAAGTGTATTTGGCAAGCGGAGTTACTATCAGCGTCTAATGGAAGACTATATTCCATTGAGTTTGTAGGTTAGCTGGTTAGTTAGACAGACTGTTAGTAGTTTCTGTATGGTTCTGAGGATAATTTATGGCA